ACAGACAGACAGGTATATTATTATATTATTGTCATTTTTTACTGTGGGCACAATGACACACATCAAAAATGAAATTTAATTGCCTGCTCTCAAAGTGAACACATACATGACACACACCTAAACATACTATATATAACATATCTACAGACCTACACCCCTACATATACATAACATATAAATATTAAACACTGTCCATCTTGAATACATGACGGAAGAAGGAAGCTTGAGATTTCACAATGTTTATACTGTATGGAACGAAACTGGCCGAATCTGGATGTTCTGCTTCGGATACCACGGAGTCTCCTCCCAGAAGGTAACAACGAAAACAGGTCGTGAAGAGGATGTGCCATGTTCCAGACAATCTTGCAGACCCTGCTCAAGCAACGCTTCTGTGCCATGTCCTGGATGGGAGGGAGGGAACTGCCAATAATCTTTTCTGCCGTGTTCTGGACCACGTAGGTCTATATGTTGGAATATCTGGCATTTATTGGGTTAAGTGCTGTCTCCTTAAGAGATGGCTTATGGGTAAGGTAGTTTTAGGTAGTCAGCTATATAATGTTAGTACAGTGGTTCTCAACCTTTCTAATGCTGCGACCCCATAATACAGTTCCCCATGTTGTGGTGACCCCCAACCACTTATACATCACCGGGTGCCAGGGGCGTGGCCAAAGAAAAGGGGGGAAAATGGTGGACAGCCTTGTTTGGTGACCCCTGTGAAATGGTCGTTCGACCCCAAATGGGGTCCCGACCCATAGGTTGAGAATCACTGTGTTAGTAGGTCAGTGGGAGGAGTTTCTAAAGGGCATTGCAGGACTTCCTAAACACAAGCCAGATTGGAATGTTCTTTGTCTGAGAGAAGCATGGAGCCATTCGGACATCTCAGTTGGCTTCATTCCAAGCTACAAGCTGGTATGGAGGTAGCATTATTTTCTCACCTATGGGAATGAACAGATGAGTAATATACAGAAGAAGCAACCATTGTAAATGCAAGTATTTCTCTGAATAAACATTTATCTGTTTTGCAATAATTTCTATTGAGTTCATCTGTCTGACCCAGTTTTACAACGCATCTTAACTGTGTCAGAACATGCCGTCCTCACCACTCTCTGTGCCGCCTTCCTGTCTGAAGCAGTGATGCTTCCAAACCAGACTGTGAAGCTGAATGACAGGATGCTCTCGATCGTCCCCCTGTAGAAAGTCCCCCTGTAGAAAATGTCCTGTTTCTTGGGAGAGGAGGTGAAAGGCAGTATCTCCAGATTTCTCCTTAAGGGGAGAAGTCAGTCTTTGTCAGACCTGCCCCAGCTTAGACCTTCGGGAAAGAAAGACCCTCGACTTCATTGGTAATGAAAGGTATACTTTGACTGAAGCCAACTGGTTACAGCATAGCAAAGCCAGATCTGAGGATTTCCCGCATAACCATGGTAATTTTCCTTTCTCCCAGGCCTTCCCCCCCTTGGTCTTCTTGGTGGTGTCCCAAAAGGTTCAAATTAGGTGTTTTGGTAACAGTTCCACATTCTGGTGCCTCTTTGGATGGGTGTTTCGCATTCCATTCCCAAGCTTGTGTGCTTGGCTGTTTCAATTGTCTCTGGATGGCACCTCTGGTTCCTGTCATCTCCCTTCCCTGTTTTCCCATTCTCCCTCCCCTCATTTTATGGCAGGTTGCCATCAAAGCGAAGCAGGGTTGAAGCTGTTTGATGGCGGATCTGACAGTCTTGCTCTGAATTACACTGTTTGAAAGCCTATATACAGTATCTTCTTGGCCTTTGTGATCTGGTTCTTTGGATCCAGTGGAGATGGCCACTTGCCTGCTTAGCCCTTCTGGCATAATAATAATAATAATAATAATAATAATAATAATAATAATAATAATAATAATAATAATAATAATAAAAAAGTTGGAAGGGACCTTGGAGGTCATCTAGTCCAACCCCCTGCTCAGGCAGGAAACCCTATACCATTTCTGACAAATGGCTGTCCAGTCTCTTCTTAAAAACTTCCAGTGTTGGAGCATTTACCGCTTCTGGAGGCAGGTTGTTCCACTGATTAATTGTTCTCACCGTCAGGAAGTTTCTCCTTAGTCTAACTTCTCAAGGCAACTCATGTTTCTGAAACGTTTGTCTTCATGAGTGATTCTCAATGCAACATTCAGGTCAGGAAACAGAATGACTGCCCTAAATTGGATTGTTCAGATGGTGCTCTTGGTGCCTTGCTAGCCAAGCACTTGGTCTTCATGGGTGGGCTGCTAGTTAACTGGTCAATGGCAAGACTCTTATTGCCCCAGGATCTGTCCTTGGCTATGACTTCACTCCAGAAAATCACCGTGAAGCCCGTGGATTGGGTCATGGCAATTTAAACACAAGCTGGAACAGAGCTTAGATCAAGGACTGTAGACCTGGATTGCCATATCGAATCTCTTTTGCTAGGAAATTTAACCAATATACTAAAACCAGGATACTTAGCTCAGCTTAGCATGTCTGAATATTTAAATGTTCTGCTCTCAAAAGCTGACAGAAGAAGCCTTACCGTCTAGGAACCTGCTGCAAAAGATGGAGTGGTGGCATTTTGTCTTTTAATGCAGAGATAAATTTATACAGTCCAATCCAATTATCTCTGGTTAGCTTGGCATTCAACATCTTTGCTCTGATGTGGATCCCAACTAACTGCATATGTAGCCATATTCCGTGCACCAGAATATGCCAGTAATTAACAGTCAAACTTCCTTAGATGCCAGAACTATTATTAAATGGGGTTTTTCTGAAACACTTGGTTATGTTACTTAAGAGTTATGTATCTTGTTTGAGGAGTGATGTTTATTTTTAATTCTGTTTTAATTGCTTTGATTATAATACAGACTAGCTGATTGGTTGTTTTGAGAACCAACTGGTATGAATTCTGAGCTGGGGATGAGGTAAGAGTCTCAACATTAATTGACAAGAAAATTGCATTACACTGCCAGGATAAACTGCAGGTGAGGGACTGAATTGCCATCATTTGGAAATACTAAAATGCCATTGAATTTATGGGGGATGCCTTGCCCGTTTGCACAGGATCAAATGTCATGAGAACATTAACCTGAGAAAATATCTCAGGAAAGATGCTCCCCAATTCTTACAAAATAAAAGGAGACAAGGGAGAGGTGCTTTCAGGCCCATTAGATTGATGTCAAACTCCTGAGTGGAACACACATGGACTCAGATTTTATCTGACCTACATCTTGGTAGGTCAGCTCTTTCTCAGGATCGTTCCTTCTTGTCCATTTCATCAAAGTTTAGCTCCACCTTTTTGCGAGATGTTACTTCAACTTCCCAAGCTAGCCTCCAAATTTGGGATTTCCTAGTGGTCTCCTCTCCAATTACTAAGCAGTTCTGACCCCAATTAGCTGACCCCAATTAGCTTCTTAGCTTCCATCCTCCTGAGCATGGCTCCTGCCAAGACTGGGCAGAGCAAGCAGCATAGATGCAGAATGAATTAAGAGTAACCAAGGAAGAAGAATATTTGTGGCTTGGGGTTGAAATGAGGGGTCCTTGGTGCTCTCTGAGCTTGCTTGTTTTCTTGCAAATGTTTCATTACCCTAACTAGGTAACATCATCAGTGCTAGCAAGGAGTGCTGAGTGTTGTTTATATTCTGGTGTCTTGCCTGTCTACATGGGTGGAAGGATTCTTTGGTTGGGCTGTTTATTAATGGCTTTGTGACAGCTTCTTGATTGGGGTATTGCTTACTGGGATTGTTGGTCTGAAGTTGACTTTGGAGCTAATCTATGCTGATCTGACTGCTGATTACTGGTAGAGAGCTACTGGAGTCTTTTTCTCTTTTGGACCGATTACCTCTTTTGCATAGTCTATAGATGCAAAGGCTGAGTGCCAAAGAATTGAGGCCTTTGAACTATGGTGCTGGAGAAGATTCCTGCGAGTCCCTTGGACTGCAAGGCGTTCAAACCAGTCAGTCCTAGAAGAGATCAACCCCGACTGCTCTTTAGAAGGCCAGATCCTGAAGTTGAAAATCAAATACTTTGGCCACCTAATGAGAAGGAAGGACTCACTGGAGAAGGGCCTAATGCTGGGAAAGATTGAGGGCAATAAAAGGGGATGACAGAGAATGAAATGGCTGGATAGAGTCACTGAAGCAGTAGGTGTGAACTTAAATGGACTCCAGGAAGACCTGGAGGAATGTTGTCCATGGGGTCACGATGAGTCAGACATGACTTCGCAATTAAGAACAACAACAATAGATGTTAATGTCTATGTGTCTGTTGATGGCGGATTTATCAGAGTGCCAGGCTTCTAGAAATTCCCTGGCATTTTGGGATTTGGCCTGGTCTAGGATTTTCACATTTTTCCAATTGAAATGGTTAAATCTGTATGTTGTGAAATTAAAGAATTTTCGTCATGCTGTTCGGCTGCCAGTTGGTGTTCATGGCTGCGTTCTGCCTGTTTGTCCTAGGTACCATAGTGGTTGTGGCAGTTCTTACATCGTATGTTGTAGATCAGGGGTCCTCAACCTTGGCAACTTTAAGACTTTAAGCTAGCTTTGCTGGCTGAGGAATTCTGGAAGTTAAAGTCAACAAGTCTTAAAGTTGCCAAGGGTGAGGACCCATGCTGTAGTGACTGTTTTTTTCTTCTGGGGTTGTTGGGTCTTTGGGTTGCCTCCTTCCTTGGGCTAAGCCCAAGCTTCCTTAGGATTGGCCCACGGTGCCGCAGCTAGCTTCGTGTCCAAGGCAGGACTCGAACACGGGGTCTCTCGGTTTCCAGACGGGGGCCTTCGCAGCCCCCTCCCTCCCCCGCATCGGTCCTTCTGTGGCTCGGTCCAGCCGAAAAGAGGAACTGAAGGAGCTATTTTGCACTTTTTCAACCGCCCCGCCCCCTCACCCCCAACCAGTCCCGCGTCGTCTGTTTTGCATCGCCCTGCCGATTGGCCGGCGGGCCCGGCGCCACTCCAGGGGGCGGGGCCAGGCGGAGGTGGGTGTCAGGCTGCTTTATTAGCGGCTTCATTAGCGGCCGGTGTGGCAGCCGGTCCGGTGCAAGTTGGGTGGTGGCTCTGCCGCCTTTTGTTAGGCACGATGATGGAGGACGAGGGCGGCTGGAGTGTGTCCTTCGCGGGATGCGGCTTCCTGGGCGTCTACCACATTGGCGTTGCCACCTGCCTGCAGGAGCGCGCCCCTCGCCTCCTTCGCGACGCCCGGTGCATTTATGGGGCCTCGGCGGGGGCGCTGGCCGGTGCTGTCCTCATCGGAGGCGGCTCTCTGGGTGGGTCTGCCCTGCGCCTAGTCGGGAAGAGTCGTGGGGACGCGTCTGCCTGGGGGATCCGGGTCCTAAGGCTCCCGCGTAGGCTGACATGCCTTCGGCTTGGGTAAAGTTGGTCAATTGTGTGTGTGTGTGTGTGTGTGAGAGAGAGAGAGAGTGAAGCTTTGACTAAGTGTTTCTCAACCTTGACAATTTTAAGGCATGTGGACTTCAACTCCCAGAATTCCACAGCCAGCAATGCTGGCTGTGGAATTCTGGGAGTTGAAGTCCACATGCCTTAAAATTGTCAAGGTTGAGAAACACTGGACTAAGTGAACAAAGTCCGGACTTGGGTGAATTCGTGGGAATGGAGAAATCAGAGGTTTATTTTTGGAAGGGGCTGATGTCTGGTAGTTGTGATTGTGGTTTGCCGTTTCGTCCCTGAAGAAATCTAAGGGACCGACATGGAGGCTCCCTCTGATCCTACAGCAACAGCCCTTTAGAGGTAGGCTGACCTGAGAGAGCAAGACTCTGCCCTCTCTTCTAGAGATGTAATACTGGGTGGGTTAGTGGGTTAATTGTGTTAGTGGCCTGATCCGATTAGTTAAGAACGACTGTATTTATCTCAGATGGATTGCTTGACCTTCTCTTTGGCGCTGAAGGTCAGAAATAATGCAATATGGAGAGTTGAATACCTTTGCCACCAGTTCCCCTCAACACTTGTCTCTGTTCACATGTTGTGGTTTACTGCATTGTGGTGAATCCAGCATGGGGTGTTGGCTTGCCATTGTAATGGGTAAATCCTGTTTTATAGCTCAGCCTTTTGTATTCATTTCTGGGTAGTCCCAAAAGAGCTTGGAGGGAATCCAGCCAAAAAAACCTCTTGTTTGCTTTTAGAACTTAATTAACCATATTAAATTTTTCCCAGTTGAAAATGCAATAATGGAGACCTATTCATTAACCCAGAAAGCATGGCTCATTGAGGAAAAATCGAAACATTTTTGCTATCAAGGCTGTGGTTTGGTGATTGGAACAGTCTTTCGTATTATCTTTTTTGGTATTGGGATAAATATTGACCTTTTCCATTCTTTTGATCACTGTCCAGTCTTCCATGCAGTATCAAAGCATTGGCAGTGCTTTTGTTGGCAGTGGCTTCAGCAAGTCTGTAGGAATTCTGTCAGCTCCTGGGGCTTTGTGGTTAGGCAACTAGTTGAGTGTCCACTCTACCTCCTCCCACAGGATATCTGGTAGAACAGTTTCTCCTTGGCCTTGTTTTTTGTTTGTGGAGAAGACTCCTGCGAGTCCCTTGGACTGCAAGGCGTTCAAACCTGTCAGTCCTAGAAGAGATCAACTCTGACTGCTCTTTAGAAGGCCAGATCCTGAAGTTGAAACTCAAATATTTTGGCCACCTAATGAGAAGGAAGGACTCAATGGAGAAGGGCCTAATGCTGGGAAAGATTGAGGGCAATAGAAGAAGGGGACGACAGAGAATGAGGTGGCTGGATGGAGTCACTAAAGCAGTAGGTGTGAACTTAAATGGACTCCAGAAGATGGTAGAGGACAGGAAGACCTGGAGGAACATTGTTCATGGGTCGGACACGATTTCGCAATTAACAACAACAACAACAAAAAGTTCTTCTGCATATTTCCGCCATCTTTCTCTAATTTCTTGTTGGTCATGCAGTTCCTGCCCATCACACCCTCTGACCATATAGCTTTCCTTGCCATAAAGGAGTTTCTGGACTTCTTCACATAATTGAAACACTTGTGTATGACCGGTCATGGCTGCTTCCTCCAGTTTCTTACATTGCTCAGCCTAGTACTTTATCTTTTCTTGCTTCTCTCTGGAACTTTAATGTTCCACATTTCTTCCCTGTCACCAATGGCTTTTGCTTTCCTTCTTGCTTCTGCTGTCTTTATTGCAGCTTCTGATATTCAGCTGGCTAATTTCTTTGGCTTTTTGTATGTAATATATTCTTGGGCTACTTCAGTGATGATGGTTGTTTTCATTTCCCCCCATAGCTCATCTGCTTGTCTTTCTATAATATTGAGAAGTCCAAATCTGTTCTTGACTTCAACTGCAAATGCTGAGCAAATCTTCTCGATGTCAAATTTTTGAATTCTGGGTGGTGGTTTGCAACACCTGAACTTTTCCTTGGCAGTTAACAGTTCATGATCTGATCCACAATCTGTACCAGGGAATGTTTTCACAGCAAGGATGGAACTTTCCCACTTCTTTTGACATAATATGTAGTTGATTTGGTTTCAGTGTTCTCTAATTGCTGAAGCCTAAGTCGCCATTTGTGTTGTTCAATCCACATGATCTTTCTGCTTAGCTGTTGTTTGTGGCATAGCTGAATCAGATGTTCTCCTGCCTCATTTTTGTTCCACAAGGCCAGACTTGCCAGTGATCCCCTTTGCTTCCATTTCTCCCACTTTTGCATTGAGATCTCCAATATTATAGATAATGTCTTTCTTTGTTTCAGAGTTTTCTGAGTTTCAGCATAGAATTCTTTGATGTTCTCCCATTGCCGAGTCTGCAGTGAGAGTGTGAACTTGCAGAATCGTTATGTTGCAAGGTTTTCCATCGATATGTGTTGCCATCATCCTGTCACTGAAAACTTTCTGTGGTTTTGCTCACTTTTTTAATGTAATATGAAACCTACTCCTATTCTGATGGTATCATTGCCAGAGTATACAATATGACCATCATAGTTGAAGAAGCCAAAGCCAGTCTGATGAGCATCACTGATGCCTAGTATATCAATGTTGAGCCTATTCATTTTGTTTTTAACAGTGTTCAGTTTTCCTAGATTTAAGCCATTGATGTTCCATGTTCCCAATTTTGAACAGTGGAGAGCTCTTTTTTCACTAGGAGTTGTTGTCAATGGCTGGAGGGCCATTAGGATTTATCCCATCTGCATTAAGGATGTTCCTGCTAGTACAGTGGTTCTCAACCTGTGGGGTCGGGACCCCATTTGGGGTCGAACAACCATTTCACGGGGGTCGCCAAACAACGCAGTCCGCCATTTCCCCCCCCTTTTCCTTAGCTGTGCTACTCCCTTTTATTCTATTGGCTTTTGAAAGCCAATAGAATAGACTCTCTTGAATAGAGTCTAATTCTATTGGCTTTCAAAAGCCAATAGGAATTGTCCAGGCTGTCTCTGCCCTGCTGAGCCCGCCAAAAGTCCCATTCTGCAAACGGTGCTGCACCAGTTGAGTAGTCCTACGACTTACGACCGGTTGGGGGTCGCGGCATTAAAAAGGTTGAGAACCACTGTGCTAGTATGATAGTGTTTTTGCTCTTCTCCTGCAGCTTTATTGGTACTTCCTAGCCAGGGCAACATACTGCTCGATACCATAACTCCCACATCCTTTCCAGAAAGGTTTTGGGCAGAGAAAACTGGAGTAGGTCACCAGGTCTTGCTCCAGGCCAGAACCGTGTTGGTCAGTATAATAGGCTTATACCAGCGGTGTCAAACTGCGTCACCAGGAAACCACGCCCATCCTATTGCCGGCAATGGAGAAAAAGCTCCGATATGTCATGTGACGTCACGAGTTTGACATGTCTGGCTTATACTGTTCACCTTCACCACCAGGGTAAGGTATTGTTGGGCTTTGGGGGAGGGTAGGGGCAAAATGAACTATAATACCTTAATATTAGGTTTATATACTAGTAGTTGTTAATATAGTTGAAGCAATTGCCTTCCTACAAGCAGCTGACACAGATTTATATAATCCTGCAGATGGCAGCCATTTTGAGAGCGTTTCTTTTTAACTAGATCCTTCCAGGTCTTCAGCACTGTTTCTTTCTTTGAATTCAGTTTTGTAAACTGAATGTTTCAGTTCTTTAATTTTAAGGCTGCCTGACTTCTCGAAGATTGGGCGGCTTGCAATTAAACGGAAGAGAAAGATAGAATATAGCTGACTGAAAGACCACTTCCATATCATAGAAAACCCAAACATAAGGACTGGGCAAATCCCATGCCCTGAGCATCCTTATAAATGTCTTGCTATTGATATGGATCTTGTAATGGTGCTGAAAGTCCAAGTTTTCTTCTGGATCAGCTGCAACCCTCTGAAGAGCCTGTGAGGCCCTTCTTACTGTGTATTGAAATACAGATATGTTAACCGCCGCCTGTGTTATTAATACCATGACAGAATACCTGAGATTCCGGTTTTTTTACTTATATTGGAGGCTTCTTAAGAAAGGAGTACTGTTTGTACAGGTACAGATAAGGAAGTACTATATGTACAGGTAATCTTCAACTTAGAACCATACGTTATAGCCTATTACAGTCATTAAGTCATGATGTTTGTAAAGTGGGTCACCCTAATGACCAACCTGATTTGTAGTTATCTTTTTTGATGCAGTCCTTAAACCAATTTGCCATGGGCCTGTTTGGCTAAAACCATAGGTAAATGCCAGTTTTTCCAGAAATCTTGTAAAATGTCATGTGACTGTAGGACATTGTAAATGGCCATAAATGTGGGCCAGTTGCCGAGTGCCTGAAATACAGTCATGTGACCATGGAAGGGGGGAAGCAGTTGAAACTTTGGAACTGGGTCCTAAGTACCCCTGGGAAGGGCTATAGTAACTTTGAATAGTTGCTAAGGGGAGGACTATCTGTATGCCTGGCAATTTTGCCTGTGAGTAGGACTACCCTTAAGATTAGGGGGTGGGGAAATCACGTTAAATTCAGTTTTCAATGCTGCATATTTATTGAAGAATCAAAATAACCAAGAATTTAGTGAGCACTATCTAATTAACAAGAAGAATAGGGCTCTCCAGTAGCACTGCTGGGCCTTTATTTATCACCAACTGCTTAAAAACAAAGTGAATTTCCCTGGAGTCAGGGTTTCTAGTAAGTGTGAATAAGAGGTAGTAGTTTTCAAGAAGAGATGTTTAAACTAATCAAGTAGCAGCAATTTGGATGACGAGATCAGATTTTTCACAGAAAATTCCTGTTTAGCTTTGGGTTAGATCAGGGGTCCCCAACCTTTTGGGCACCAGGGACTGGTTC